TTAAATCATCTCCTCTGCTAGAATAATTTTTGTTTCTTGTGTACTGTGATATTTTAGATAGGCTTACATAATACAGACTCTAATAAAGAGAAATAATAACTGTCAGGTACTGTCAACACATTGCTTAGCCTGGTTGCTGACGCACGGCACAGGTTGGGACATCTTCTTTGGGAAAATCGTAGACTGTATAAGATAATGGATTTAGCCACCATGACATCTTCTATTGTTGAACTCCCTGCGTTGAAGCCTCAAGTTTGGCATTTTGGCCCTTGCCATGTTGGATTTTTGGAGCCAAAAGTGACCATGTTGTGACCAGAGGGTAACGCTAGCTGCTAGCTTGGGTCAATGGTTAACTGTGATAATGTTAATGCTAATTTTAGCCAGTAAAAAAAAAAAGTTACTTTTAGTACAACCGGACGCTGAACAAGTGTTTTTTTGGGAAACCAAAACATTACAATTAACTTTCATGAGCTGGAAACATGCTGTAATTCAAACAGCTATGGCTACACCTATACTCTGGGGTAACGCCATGGTTACGTTACTTAACTGACGTTGTGACCACGCCCTTATTATGCTTATAACTTTGAGCCTTAACAGTATTAAACAGCCCTGTACAGTCATCCTTAACGGGGATTTTAGCTACAGAGACCAAACCCGTTCTTTGTACCAGGCTGTACACGTGTTTATTTCTGCTGTAAAGTTGGGCATTTTAACATGGGGGTCTATGGGAATTGACTTGCTCTTGGAGCCAGCCTCAAGTGGCCATTACAGGAACTGCAGTTTTTGGCACTTCCACATTGACCTAATTGTTCAGCCCTTGGGTTTGGAGCTTGCAAAGAACTGAAACAGTCTGACGTTCTTCCGTTCATATTAGAGTAAAGAGAAGGTTGGTGGTTGTTCGTCCAGCAGGATGATGTGTGGTATTTGAGTTGTGTGGCATGTTAATGAGGTGTCACTGTGGAGAGAAGAGGAGCAGCATCTAGGACGGTCAGGCTGGCGGATAAGATACCATCAGCTTGCACTGCCAGAGGGCTCAGTGCTGTCACTCAGACACAAAATACTTAACACCTAATTCAGCAGGGCCCCCTGCAGTCAGTCAAAACCATTAGCTCAGCTTATTCTGACTGCAGGGATCTCCTTCTTCACTGTTAAGATTCTCTTTATCTCTACTCGCCTCACTTGAAAATCATCATGTGTCAGATGCAGACAAGTATTGTACTGAGGGCCAGCAGAGAAAACTTATAACTCAGTTTTGTCTCAGAAAGAACACTTTTGCTCCAGTCAGATAAATGGCTGAGCATGTGTAGCTACTGTAAATTAATCGGAAGATACACATTCCTCTAACACAGAGATGCGTCTTATCTCTTAAAAAGTATATTCAGAGCAGCCTCTTTTTCTTTCATTACCCGTTTCTCTCTGATGTCCAACATCATTAGACACACAGCAACAGCCCTGCCTGGACTGAAGGCTTAAATGATGGCTGTCAGCTGTTTTCCATCTGCCACCACTGACAAGGGGAGACTCTTACTGTGATGCTGACCTGCTGGTCTCTGCAGAAACACCCATCTCACTGGCCACACAATATCACAGCTTAGGAAAATACAAGCAGGCCAGATGCACATTTGTCTGCATGAAATTCAACAACTTCTCTTGACACGAGAACATTTATTCCTATTACCACAGGAAATGAACATTAAAAGGAGCCTCATGTCTTCATGTTGTTCTCTGAAAGCTGTGATCCTACTCACGCACAAGAAACCTATAAAAAGGGACCGAAAAATGTCTTTCAAGGCGAATTGTTTTGTTTAGAACAACATATTTTCTAAATTTCACTAAGAATCCTCTTCAAAGAAATAATTATCTGGATGCAAGATGAGTGAAAGACGTAACCCTATCCTTAAGAGGTGACGATGTACTAATAAATCTGCTTGAAGTCACATGTCAGATAAGCCTAGAAAGTTTCATATGGTCTAGAAGATGCATATTAACACTGGCTGCTCTTAAAATCAAAGGAGCCAGGACAAAGCGAATATGTCAGGGCAGCAGACGACTTTTTATATAACGTGTGTGTGTGTGTGTGTGTGTGTGTGTGTGTGTGTGTGTGTGTGTCTGTGTCTGTGTCTGTGTATAGCACAAGGATTTTGCAATCCATGGATGTTTTCCTCCATGTTGTAGTGGCTTTCACAGCAGGATGTTTTGCGCACGAGAGGTAAGCAAGAAAACTCTGGACCACATGTGGAAATCATTTGTGTACCTGATACCACATTCTTGCAGATTGCTGTGGTGTTAACGTACAATTGAAAATGATTACTTCTGGGAAGCCAAAAATACAGAAAAGCCTTCAGAGCATATAAAGGCAAAGAGAAAAAAGAGTTTTCATCGCAATATACTGTAGTATAGTTAAGCCGCGGCTGAGGCTTCTGAGGTCTCATTTTGTCATGATTTTCTCATGTGATACACACCCTTTGAACATGGGCACTGAAGCAGTCCATTTTTACATTTTTTATTAAGTTTCCCAGCGAGGCCCCCCGGTACCTTTACTAAAAACGGCCGTCTCTCCAGGGGACCTGGCTCCAGATACACTGAAATATCCTTCACCAAAACTTCTTTTATTCCCCCTGCAAATGTCCCCAGGCCCTAAATCTGGTGTGCTTTTTTCATATTGCTGTGACACCTCTTGCAAATGTTAAGTTGAATTTATAGACAAATAAATGCACAATTTTTCAATTAAATACACTTTAAAGGGGACCTTTTACGCTTTTACTTATTTTCTGTCCGATATATAACGTTATAATGTTGCCTTTTTGTATTAAGCCTGACCAAAGTTTAAAATAATGAGGTTAACGTATGTAAAACTAATCCCTGTAAGCAAAACCTCAGGCTTCAAACTGTTCTGAATACTCTGTTTCCAACATGTTTTTCTGCTTTCGAGACAGAGGGCAGCGACTGCAAGTGCTTTCATTATATACACTGCTACATGTAGCTACATGCTAATTTCAGGGAAACATGTAAACTTGATTGCCGAAGTTGTTAATTTCTCCCATATTTCTGATCATATCCCTGCTAGAGGCTTTTATTATTGATTTTTAACGGGAGAAAGTAATGCTATACACAGTCATTCCTCAGCTGCCAACACACTGCTACATGTAGCTACATGCTAACTTCAGGTAAACATGTAATTTTAGTTGCCAGTGTTGTTCATTCCTCCCCGATTTCGGTTCATATTCTTTCTGGAACATGTGCAGTTGAGTTAAGAAACTTTTATTATTGATATTTAACGGGAGAAAGTGCCGCTTTACACAGTCATAATACACTGTTACATGTAGCTACATGCTAACTTCAGGTAAACATGTAATATTAGTTGCCAGTGTTGTTCATTTCTGCCCGATTTTGGCTCATGTTCTTGCTGGAACATGTGCAGTTGAGTTAAGAAACTTTTATTATTGATATTTAATGGGAGAAAGTGCCGCTTTACACAGTCATAATACACTGCTACATGTAGCTACATGCTAACATCAGGTAAACATATAATCTTGGTTGCTGATGTTGTTAATTTCTCCCTAATTCTGTCTCATATTCCCACTGGAACATTTCCGGTTATGTTTTAAAGCTGTTATTGGTGATTTTTGTGGTTATGCACAATAGTGTTACTCCTGCCCGCACCATCTGCACGTTCCCACTCAGCTCAAGAACTTCTCATTGTGATGACATCAAGGGTTTTTACAAATATTGAAAATTTGATGTGTCCTGTTAGCAGTTTTACAGATGTCTCTTCTATTCTGGTGGTCTACGGGGAAAATGCATTTCGGGCTGCACCTCTTTTTGTTGTTGTTGTTTTCTTTGCTGCAATACTGCGAGTGGCCACTGGGAAAAATTGGAAACAAGGTTGAGCGGTGTTACTTGGAGCCTGAGAGACCAATCCAAGCACAGTAAGTATGAGGACAATAAAGTGTTTTTTGACCAGTAAATCATATAAACATGTATTTTTGGTTCTACTACAAGAAGTATGAACCTGAAAATTAGCATAATATTTAAGTTTTGCTGCTACAGCCTAAATTGGTCTGGTGTGATCAGTAGTTTATGGCAGCTAATCTTTACTGGCTTTATCACTATTTGCTACTTGTGGACCTGTTATTCTACAGTCTAGCAGGTAAATTCAATGTGCCATTGTCCTGTAACTACCATTTGTAGCCACAGTCATGGCTGTTCTGAAAAAGTGTCACTTTGAGTCAGTGATGAAGACTTCTTTTTTGAGCGATCGAATGTTGCTAATGTTTCATGTCTGGATCAGCGAGACCTCAAGCTGGACACCAACTTATAGGATTATCATTATTTCCAAACAAAGTGGTGATATAATTCAGGATATCAGCTAATATTAGAAGGTGAGAGATCACCTCCTTACTCAGCGGAGCTTTAGTGGTTTAGTGTTTGCTACCACACATTCCCCGTTGTTAGGGTTTTCGTGGTGTACGGATACGCCCTGTCTGATTTGAACAGCTGCCAAGCTATCAACAGGACCGTTAACAGGAGGGAGGGAGGCCTGTGGTTATAGAGTGTGAATAAAGCTGAGAAAGCACATTTCATCATTTTAGATAAATAGATTTTACACCACGATGTGACAGAGTGATACTGGTTTGGTAACATAATGCTAGTAAAAATAAAATCTCGCGATTGCACATTGAATCATTAAATATAAATCAAAGAATATTATTGTTAATGAAACTTGTACTTATCTAAAACTACTTCCATAATTGTTCATAATTGTAAAGTGTTCGGCTGTAGCTAAATGTGTCTGTACTAAAACATTATGTATGTGTGTGTACAGAGATGAATGCCTCTTGCCGAGTTTGGAAAGGCCTCCTCTGCATATTTACATCGCTTTAAATATTTTGCTCAGAGAAGAAGACTTCTGAAACGGGAGGACGGTTTAGCCTGTGAGGAAATGAATACACCGTTTTTAGGAAGTAGGATTTAAAGGCTCTTAGAGATGCTGGACTCACATGAAAGGTACGTTTAATGCCCAGGGCCAGGTTCTCTGTCTTGATCTTCCAGATGAGTGGTTGGGGGGAGTTGAGCACAAAGACCAGCGGCTTCTGGTGGCGCAGCAGAGACTGGATCGGCTTCAGATGCAGCTCAACCTGGTGAGGCAAAAAAAAAAAAGGGGGATTGAAGTCACATAAAGCAACAACACACTGGTAAAAATAAGTACACTGAGAGAGAGAGATAAGAGCATAAACAGAGAAAATTCACAGCACATGACATGATCCACAAATGTCACAGCTTTGATTTTTTCCATGTTGCTTGTAATGACTAAAAATATCAAGCGATACAGTTACTATCCTGGTGTAACTGCAGTGCTATAATGTTGTAGATTATTGCTCTTTATCAGGCTTTGTGGTTGTTTATGTACTCACTTTGCTGATAAACTCACAAAGACGGCATGCTGTGTTCTCCCTAAAAGGCACTTGCTTAGCTCTGATATGTAGCCTCAGCGGGATCTGAACTTTCACACAGTGGAGTCTTTGTTAACAGAGGGAAAAAATAGTAAGTGGCAGCTCTCTGTTACCATCTCTACAGCATGCAACTATGCCTTTGGTTCTCAGACTGCCATTAAAATAGATTTTCACAGTCTGGTAGTGAGATGGGGAAAACAAACTACTTTGGGACCTCAAATGTTGTTTACTTGTTTCCTGTGCTAGACTTGTCTGGACCAAACTAGTCAGATAGTTCATGACTCAAGCATATTTTTTAATTTACCCCCTTATTTAAAGGGACAGTACACCCCAAAATTAAAAATACATGTTTTTACTCTTACGTGTAGGGCTATTTATCAGTCTAGATTGTTTTGGTGTGAGGTGTAAAGTGTTTGAGATATCAGCTCTAGAGATGTCTGCCTTCTCTCCAACATAATGGAATGAGATGGCGCTCAGCTTGTGGTGCTCAAAGTGCCAAAACCTGCATTTGAAAAACTCAGCAGCAATGTCTCTTTGTAGAAGTCATGACCGGGTCAAGATAATCCGTAGTCCTTGTGAGCAGTTTCATGAAGGAACTAGTTTCTTTCTAATGAACCACACTCACCAACTGTACCACCGCGCAAAGGGAAGTGTGCATCTACTTATGGACGAGATTAACGTTAGCTAGCTCAGTGGTGCGAGGTGAACTCAGGGTTTTTATGGGTTTTTTTGAGACCAAGGTGGCAAAGGCCTGTGGAGGAGGGCATCTTGACAGCTGTACTTTTAGATACGGTCCCCCCCTCTATTAAATATTAAAGGAGGCCCCCACATCCTTGAGCTTTACACTGCTGACTTGTATAGAACAGACGTCCTGCGATTTTCAGCCTTCTATGATTATATTTACCATTTACAGCAGGCACATCCTGACAGCTGAGAGTATTACTGTCAGGTATTGTCCCCCCTCTATTAAATATGAAAGGAGGCTGAAAATCACAGGACATGTCTGTTCTGATGATACAAGTCAGTGGTCCTGAAATGTGTGTTTCTCTTCTATGATACATATTCTACATCTCGGAGGTGATGTCTTTCCACATTCAGGCTTCCTTTGCCTTTCAAACAGGGCAGAGCTCCGTGGGAAACAGTAGGAGTGACACAGCCCGAGGGGAAACCGGGATCTGACACAACATTGGAGGGAGAAACAGGTCCATGGAGCTGTAGGCTGGACTAATAAACAAGCGTGTCACACTGAATGCACACCGCTACGTCATCGCTTTGGGTTGTGAGCGCACATGACGCGCGTCTACATTCAAAGTAATGGGTTTGTGTGCGTAAAAGACACTACATCTGAACGCGCCTCATGCACACACACGCGCTTTAACCAAGGCGGCGGCCAAAATCACCCAAGCGGCCCGCCTTTGNTCACCTTCAACATATCAGCCTGGTTCGGTTCACTATCTAACATCCATCGCAACCCACTAAACAAAATCATAACAATGAGCAGTAAAATAATTGGACTGGAGCAGGCATCACTCATCAACATTTACAACAGAAGGGTTAAACTAAAAGGTACACACATAGCCTCAGATATCACTCACACACTGCACAGCCACTACAGTCTGCTACCTTCAGGCCAGAGATACAGATCACTTGCATTCAGGACTAAGAGAGCCATGTCAAGCTTTGTACCCACATCCACCCGGCTCATGAATGCCTGACCTATGTGTGTATATGTGTATGTATGTGTACATGTAATTTGTATGTATATATATATGTACATGGCTCATGAATGCCTGATTTATGTATGTACATGGTTGTTTACACCACTCCTTTAACTTGACCATGGATTGCTTTTATTTATTTATTTACTATCCATATTTTTAACAATTGTTTTTATCATTACCTATTCATCATGTACTCATTGTGCTGGCAAGCTTTCTTCTCTCCAATTTTTGACTGTTAATTGATGGTTGATTGTTAGTATTTGCTGAATTCATGCGGTATATTATGTTGCGTTGCTGGTTATGTGAACTGTACACGCACTGATGCTCTGCACAAATGAAGTTCCTAACGGATAAATAAAGTTCTTTGAATTGAATTGAATTGAATTGAATAGCTCAGTAGAAAGAAAATAGTTCCTACATGAAAATGCTCACAACAAGGTCTGTGGATCATAACTTCTGAACATTGCTGTTGAGGTTTTACAATGTTTTTTTGTGCCTTGAGCACCACAAGCCAAGTGCCATCTAGTTCCATTACACTGGAGAGAAGGCAGACATTGCTCCAGCCAATATCTCCAACACTCGACAACTAAAACCAGAACAATCTTGAATGATAAATAGCACCACAGGAATATGTGGTTTTGATTTTGGGGTGAACTGTCCTTTTAATCAAGAGAAAAATTAACATAAATTAAAAACACATAGTTACAGACAAAAAAACATAAAAACTCACATTACAAAAGAGAATTTCAAAAGTTCGTTTCATAACAAGATAAACTAGAAAGATCAACATCTGAAGGAATGTGCCTCTGGTTCTTTTATTTTGGACTTAAAAGCATTTAACAAGATTAATTTACTGAGCAACAAGTGATTTTGGAACATATTCCATGCCGAGGGTGCACAATACACATATGCCGTTTCTCCAATTTCCGCCAAGTGAACTCAAACTCATTTCAGACAAGGATCTGGCTTTCATCGTCCTCTTTGCAGATCAGCAGAACTTTTTAATTGTACCACTTAACTAATAACATTGCCATCACGCCAGAGTTATTAAAAATTCTCAATTGTTCTCTCTAGCTTTGATGAGAAGTGATACTCTGGAGGATATGGTGGTCTGTTCTTTAAACTTCCTCCCCTCTGTATTCCCAGACTAATCGTATTAGCCCCATCCTGTGTGTCAGCAGTAAAAGCCTGTTAATCACTAATTCAATCCACAAGGAATCACATTATGTGATAAAACGACCCCTTCAGTAATTTAATCAATCACAGCTCGCAAAAATATTGGCCCTTTGCTTTTCTAAAGAAATGGAGCCTTTGGGCTTGGATTGAAGCTAATAATGGAACAAACGATCTGAAATTACTATGACGGTGATTGTAAAAATATGTTGACAGTTTAATGTTGAGCGTATCTGAACCGTGGAAAAACTGTAGAGAACATTTATACCGGTAATTTGTTTGGATGTGGTTGAGGCGCGTACATTATCAAGATGAAGATCTACATCTTTAACAGAAACCAGTACCATTTTTCTGGTACAATGCATTTCTGCGTCACTCATTCAGTCACTACAAATCAGCAATAAAAATCAAACGACATTACTGTACTCTTTAAGACTAATTTGTACAACGACAACATAAACCACTGATGGAAGAGTCTGTTAAAAGGGTTCTGAATCAGTGTCGTCCTTCATTGTGTATACTATATTACTATATTATACTATATTATATTGATTGTTTGGACAATAATAAAATATCTGCTGACATCATAAAGTCTGCAACGATATGATTTTGACTCAATTAAATTCAGGGGCCAGTGATCAATATAAGACGACATCAATTATACTCTCATTGTCTTTTTCTTGGGTGCTTGTTGGCGCTAGGCTGCTAGCACTGTTTAAAGGTTAAGGAGGACAGAAATGGGAACACAGTCATACTATGGGAATTTCAAAACAAAGGCGTATCTTAAAGATGACGACATTTTATTGATGTTTTAACTTTGAATCCATGACATTAAGCGGTTGATCATTTAATCAATGCATCTATCCAGATCAATGGATCGTAACACCCTTACTTTAGACTAGAGGATGGCATCTTTTTGGGAATTCTGTGAGTCACATGATTCCTGTGGGATTCCCATGGGACTGGAGTCAATTTTGCTATCCATCACGTGACTGAGATGGGACAGGAAAAAGAATCAGTGGATGCCAACAGGATGGTAATCGTAATATCAAGCTAGCAACATAAAGTTTGCCAGCAGCTCCTGGCTTGTTTCTACAGACGAGAAAGTAATGTTTGTTAAGATAATATTACCATGATCACTACGGTAATTTCCATTTTGCATTGATGGTAATTCCCATTATGTGTTAGCATCAAGCTAACACACGGAGTGCTAGTTGTCTGCAACATGATTGAAGAATTTAGAACCAGAATAAGGTGTATTATCAAGTAGGTTTTCACTTACAAGGATTTGCCTGCGTGTTTGGTGCTTATTCCAGCATTAATCTATACTGTATACTTGATTAAATAAGCACAGCTTTTATAGCTTTTTTATATATAAATGTGCATTTCTAATATAAATAAACGCTATATTCTTTGTAAAAACACAACATGGGAACAGGATGGGATGGGAGTCATTTTTCCGAGATAGGGACGGGACAGGAATTTTGTTTTTTCTCTGTCATGGGATTGGGATGGGACAGGAGTGAAACCTCACTCCCTTGTCACCCTCTACTTTGGACAGAGCCAGGCAAGTTGTGTCCCCCTGTGTTTTCAGTCTTTATGTTAAGCTGAGCCAATTGGTTTTGTGGCTTCAGGTGAGACTGTTTTGTCAACTGCTTTTTTCAAGGTCAAGAACGAACTTTGAACCTCATCAATGTCTTCAGTTCAGTGTGATGCAGACCATAAATACAGGCCTGCAGTTTAATTCATAGACAGTAATCACCATTCCAATTTCCATATTGGTCAGAAAAA